TCAAGATCCCGCTGAAAGAGCTTGGAGCTCGTACTCTACCCCAGAATGTAAGTTTCCAGTCCCCACTCGACCTCCGACCGGAGCTCCTCCGCTTCCCCTCCCCCATCAACCTTAAACCTGCCCTTTTACTCCGCTACTCTCTGCCCTCGTCTCTCTCCCAGTGTCTTTTTTATCAAAAACCATTTTCCTTGCTAGAATGATGTCTCCTACCCTGTATATGTGTCCCGTCCATTTGGAGTCCCATGCCTTTATATAATCCTGTCCCTTCGTAACAAGGATTCTGATCACCTGTGCAAGCTGCGACCATCGCTTACCGCATGCTGATCTCTTAATCTTGGCTCTAGCTCCGCCAACTGCTTAGTGTTCCAGACGATGTGAACGTGATCTTTGAGAGGTACTCGGACAGTGCCGGCAATTATGTGCACCTGGACAGCCAGAACCCGGCCGTTTACAAACAACTCTACCGGGCAGCCAAAGCGAAACTCAAGCTGCGAATCAAGGCCACTACTGCCGATGAGATTGCTTCCCAACCTCCTATGGAGGAAGGTTCGTCAGAACAACAGAATGCCTCTCGATATAGCTACTTGGAAACTGTCTTGGGTTCCCCCCTCCCTGAATCCCAGGCTGAAATTGTGCCTACCACGGCGTCCGCATCAGCCACCGACGTGGTTGACAATGTGGCTAGTCCCATTCCAGCAGAGACTCAATCTGCTCACTGGGAGACTGAGCCTTCTACACAGCCGAGCTTCCGTGACTTCGTGTTCGACGGTTCCCACTTCCCGGTTGTGTCCCATGCCTCTCCCAGCGGAGTGTTCTGCATCGATTGCAATCGCTGCGGTTTGTCCATTCCGAACGAACACTATCACTGCAGCATCTGCGATGATGGGGATTATGATCTCTGCCCTCAATGTGTGAGCAGCGGAGCGACCTGTCTCAATGAAGAGCATTGGTTGATTAGACGGGTCGTCAAAGACGGCAAAGTCACCAACAGTACCACCGAGAAGATTCCTCCTCGCAAGATCGCAGTTGAGGATGCCAAAGAGGCGCCTACAGTATCGGCTCCCGAACCAGTCCGCGAGCTCTCTCCCAACCCCACTCCGGCTTCGGCTCCACCCTCAGCTCCGGCTGCTCCAGAGCTCAATAGTCTGCGTATCTGTAATGACTGCCTTAAAGGTAAACCTCCTGTCTGCATCCTGAATTTAATGAGATGTTAACTAGCCATAGAACACGATGAGAGCAAGATGGTCTCGTGTGCTGACTGTGATGACTACGATCTCTGTATCACCTGCCTTCTCAAGGACTCACATGGTCATCATCCCGCCCACACATTCGCTCTGGTTCAGGACCGCCTGTTTGCTCTAAAGAGTATCGTTCAGTCGCGTTGCAACCCCGGGCGTCATCATCACCATGCGGCAATATGCGATGGATGCGAGAAGGTACTTTTCTTGGTTCTGTCTGGTTCTTATCTGTTGTCTAGAGTCAACTAACGATTGTGCTAGCGTATCATTGGCGTCCGCCACAAGTGTTTGACTTGCCCGGACTGGGACTACTGCACCGAATGCTACGAGAAGGTCCCTCAGCAACACCCCGGTCACCGGTTCGCCCCCCTTTACGATTCGATCGCCGAGCCTTTGATCAACCACGAGGTGCACTACGGTATCTACTGTGATGGTCCTCTATGTCGGGCCAAGCCCTGTCCCATATTTATCACTGGTACTAGGTACAAGTGTTCCGTGTGCCATGATACCGATTTCTGCGCCAGTTGCGAGGTTCATCCGACAAACACGCACAACCGAACCCACCCATTGCTCATGCTCAAGACCCCCGTGCGTGACGTCCGGGTCAGCACCTTCGATAGATCTGAGCAAGGAGTGACAATGATCGGTGACCGCTTGGAAAAGTCTGTCTCAACTGAATCCGCCATTCTTGGTGAGCCTGAGCAGACGGTCCAGGAAGCGTCCGAAGCAGTCAAAGAGGCCGTTGAGGAGCCGGCTCCCGTGGAGCATGCCAGCCCTGTTGTGGACACGACCATAGCCCCAGCTGGACAGACTCTGGCTGTGGACCCCGCCTCGGGGTACCAAGCTTTCTTTATTCGTGACACTATCCCCGATGACACGGCCATGGCTCCCAACACTCCTTTCCAGCAAACATGGACACTGTTTAACCCCGGTCCCTTGGCTTGGCCTGCCGGGACGGATGTGCAATTCGTCGGTGGCGATTCAATGTTCAATGTGGACACCAACCACCCATTGAGCCTCAACTCCATCGCCGCTGCCATGGAGAGCAACAAGTTGAGCCAGCCTTTGGAGCCCGGTCAGAGTGCCGACTTCACGGTGACCCTCAAGACACCTAGCCGTCTAGGCACTGCCATTTCCTATTGGCGACTCAAGCTTCCTAGCGGCATGCCATTTGGCCACCGCTTGTGGTGTGATATCCAAGTGCGCAACGTGAACCCGGTGGCTGATACCCCGTCGTCGTCTGAGGGTGTCCAAGCGGCACCCGCTATGGAAGCTGCTCAGCCTGAGACTACTGGTAGTCAAATGATCTTTCCCAAGCTGGAGAAGGAGTCTCCGGAATCGAGCACGCACGAGGCTGCAACCACGGCTCCTTCGGTGTCCTACCGCTCGGAGCAGGATGTTCTGGATGACATGGACAGTTTGACCTTGGATGATGAGACGGACGTTGGCCTCTTGACAGACGAGGAGTACGACATCCTGGATGCCAGTGATCAAGAGTACCTTGAGGCCAAGTCCCAGCATTAGTGGAGTGGCTTGGTTCAAGATAGGGACTCTTCCAAGCACGGGCTTTCTGGGTTGTGGACGGAGTTACTTAGCGATGAATGGAAGTGGGGACAGCGCTTCTGGGGTGCTTTTTGGGTTTTATGTTTCTATTTGCGCACTTTCTCTTCTGTCTAAGCTAAATCCGGGGCTCTGTGATTGAATGGGAAAAGGGGTTTGCATCCAACCTAACGAAAACCGGGGCGGGGAGATGAATTAGGGAATGAAATTAGCTGTAGTAGAGACTCAACTCCAATTCTCAGATTGCAAAAAGTGTGTGATGGACCAGTAGAGGAAGTAGAGTCAGTAAAGTAAGGAGTGCTATGCTAAGATATGATTGTACTCCCCTTGCTCTATTTTCAACCTCAGCTCTCCCACCTCATCCATAAATGCTTCATCTCTCTACATGGTGCTTTCTCTGCTGTCGCACACACACACACACATACACACCAGCTTTTTCTCTTTGGCTCGATCTCTTTCTTCTCCGCCCAAATAATTCCCCACCCCCCGCATTCCTCTTTGGGTGGTGAGGTTTGCTAATCAGTTTGCCTGCCCCCCCCCCTTGCCTCCTCCTCCTCCTCCTCCTCCTCCTCCTCGTCTTCTTCTTCTTCCTCCTCCTCATCCTTGTCCTCCTTCCTTCCTTTTTTCAATGCTCCGCTTGAAGGTTGTTCCGAGCAATGGGATATTTTAACACGTACACACACTCCGCTCAACAGGAGCGCAGTCACGGCTACGCAGACTGACCACGCTGGCTAGCCTAGCTTCGAATATCTTTTTTCCACTATGAAGAGCTCTTTCAATCTCGCCATCCTTGTCTTGATGGCAGCCAATCTTTATGGACCCGTCTGTCACTGGCTCACCGTCGTGGGAGTCTTCCGGGCAGCCACTGACATCGTGACAATCGAGGCCCAGATGATTCAGAAGATCGAAGACACCATGCAGTGCGAAGATATGCATTACTATCAGCCTACTGGCCAAATCTTTGCAGCCTGTGAAGACTCCCTCCTGCCCCGGTTCAAGTGGTTTCCGCCACTGGGAAATTTACAGGGCCCGGCTCAGTCGACAGGCTCATTTCATGTCATCGATACCAAGGTAAGACGTGCCCAGTCGGCATGATGGTGATGCTCGCGAGGCTCATGGCATACGACTAGACCCTCAAGTCCCGGCGACTTGCATTTGATAACTTCCACGGGCCCTTTGTGACGCATGGGATTGATCTTGTCGACGATCCGGATCGCCAGGGTGCCATTTACATCTATGCGATCAACCATTTATCGAACCCGCACTACTTTGAGAAGCCCTCGGCTGAAGGCATTCCGAAGGCCCACTCCCAGATTGAGCTCTTTCACCATGTCTTGGGATCCAGCACCGTTCGCCATGTCCGCTCCATATCTCATCCCTTGATTGTGACCCCGAACGACATTTACGCCGAGAGCTTGCACTCGATTTATGTCACGAACGACCACTTCTATCGAGAAGGCATCATGCGCACGGTTGAAGATATACTCCCGTTAGCGAAATGGACCAATGTTATCCATGTGAATGTCAACCATATCCAGTCCAATAGCGCGGATACAGGCATTGATGCCGTCGTAGCGTCCCAGGGATACCTGAACATCAACGGATTGGGCCATGGGCAGTCCCAGGAGGAGTTGCTGCTCTCCAGTGCCGCGGGAGGCATCATGTACCGTGCAAGGGCAGACCGCAGCAACCGCACCCTCTTGGTGCTGGATGAGTTTGCGTTCGAGAGCACAATCGATAATCCAACCTACTATCACGATCCTTATACAACCCCCGAGAATGACGCTAGCGGATACGTGGTCGGTGGTCTGCTGCGGGCAGTCGATCTGCGCCGAACCCACAACGACCCGCATGCTCAGGAAGGCGTCATGGTGTGGCACCTGCGTCGTCATTTCGGAGACACCGCGAACCCGGAATGGGAGAAGCGTCTCATTTTCGAGGATGACGGAAGCGCCATCCGATCCGCCAGCACCGCGTTGTTGCTCCCCATGGAGCCCAAGGATCCCGCGGCGAAGACGGCGATGCTGTTTGTGACAGGCTTTGTGTCGGAAAATATCATTGCGGTTGAGGTGCCGTTGTAAGAGGCTACACTCAAGCGAAACTATTTTCTTATCATTATCTTATCCCCAGCTTACTTACGCTATTGAATCCTCCTCCCTATGTATCCTCATTGTAAGGGGGAAGAAAACCCAGTAAAGAAAACTATGTAAGCCTCCTCAGAGCTTGGACTACCTCCTCGGTCCTGACCACCTCCGCGAATTCGCCATCCAAACTCGCCAACGAAACCGCGTGCACCGTCTCCGCATCGAAGCCCCCCTTCGCCCACGTCGCCGTCGCATCCCCCACCAAGAGGATGCGCCCTGGATCCCCCGTCGGGGTAATCGCATGCGCTCCCGTGCGCTGATCCACGGGGACAAGACCATCCGCCCCCTCAGCACTACGACCGCGATCCACCACGCCGAGATTGGCCGCCATGCGCACAGTCGTCGACACGCAGTGGTCGGTGGTCAGACCCGTCACGATTAACTGGCGGATCCCGCGCGCGCGCAGGTGGGCTTCCAGCCCCGTGCCGACGAAGCTCGAGTTGACGCATTTCCAGAAGACGGGCTCCGAGCCGTCCGGCACCGGGACGGCAAAGTCGAGCGGCTGGCGCCCGTTGACGGGGGCGGCCGGATGGAAGGGCGAGTCCCGCTCCGTCGAGGTGTGGAAGACGTGGATGACTTCCATGGTGGGAGTGGGCGTCGTCGTCTGCGCTGCGGCAGCCGCGCGGAAGGCGACCAGCAGGGACTGGATGTTGGGCTCGTAGAGTGGGTTGGATCGTGAGGGGCCCCAGTGGGTTGGATGCGTGAAGGCGGTTTGGTTGTCGATGAGGAGGAGCGCCGTGGGGTGGGTGAAGGTTATTGGGGGATTGCGAGGGGTCATGGTGGATGATGTCTTGGTTGACTCGTGGAGGATATGAGTATGAGTATGGGTGTGGTGGGTTAGGTGGTTGAGGAGGTGCGGTGTCTTCATATTGTTTAGTTTTCGTTGGTGAGATGATTTATAGTTGTATTATAGATCGTGGTGGTGAGTCACATGCGGTCCGCAGTTAACTACTGATTATCAATTGATCTTTGATGATAAATCAAACTGGAACGTTGCTCTAAAGGGTAGCAGAGAATGAACCCTAACAAGAGAATATCCTAAGCCAGTCGATATAATGTTCCAAGTTGCTTACTGCTGGCCGATTGACAACGGATCTGATGACGATGACGATGTCTGGTGCCTTAGGCATAGGATGGCTGCCTTGCTGCCTTGCTGCCTTGGGTGATTCTTTCCTCCGCGTTACTCCATCCCAACTCCGCACTTTGCCTTCTTCCCTTCCTTCCTTCCTTCCTTCCTCCCTCAACAATCATACGAATTAACATCCCTCTTCTAGACCTTCTCACCTGCACTGACTCTTCAATTCCTGCTACCTCGGTCAATTGAGTCCCCCCGGCAACAATGCCGATTTCCCTCCGTACCCCCCAAGCCCGAGTGCTCCTCCGATCACGACCGCCAACAACCTCCCTGAGCCGCAGCAGCAGCATCACATCTCTCCTTCTCCTCCGCCACCAGCACCAGCTCAGCAAATCCGACTACCACCATTACTTCTCCACCACATCTGCCACCTCTTCTCCCTCACCATCCTCTAAATCCCCGACCCCACCTCCACAATCGCTCACCTCCACCAACATCAACCCGCCCGCGAGCACCCACCCAGCAGACCTCACCCTCCCCACGGCCCTCAGCCCCTCGGCCTCGCCCGCCGACAAACTCAAGCACTACCTGGCCGTCGGCCGCGCCTACCTGACCTTCTACAAGACGGGCCTCAAGAATGTCTACCACAACCACCGCGCCGCGGTGCCCCTCCGCCGCGCCCTGGGCGTGCCCGCCCATCTCCCGACCTCCGCCTATCTGGCCGTGACGAAAGAGTCCCTGGTGGCGAGCAAGGCTAGCTCCAATGCTCCGACGACGATGACGACAACGATAACAGCAAAAATCGCCAAGAGCAACAGCAGCAGCAACAACAATAACAACAACAGGCCCGCAGCCATCTCGCGCTCCAGCTTCCAGCTCCTCCATCGCGCCACCTACGACATCCGTCGCATGATCCCTTTCACCCTCCTCCTCATCGTCTGCGGCGAGTTCACGCCCCTCGTCGTCCTGGCGCTGGGCAATGCCGTCACCCCGCGCACGTGTCGCGTGCCCCGCCAGCTGGAGAAGGAGCGCGCGAAGCGCGTGCAGCGGAAGAAGAGGGCGCTGCTCCTCGATCGCGGGACGGTCACGGCGCCGGAGGTCGGCAGCGAGAAGGAGATGAAGAGCCTGAGGTGGTTGATGGGCGCGAGTGGAGACGGGGATCGGGAGGCGGTCGCTCGCGCGTGTGCCGTGTTCGGCTTGGCCGGGTCGCATGATCGCCTGGCGTGGCCGGTGCTCCCGCTGTATCGACGGCGCTTAGAGCAATATCTGAATTATCTGGAGGTGGATGACGAGTTGATCCGGAGGGGTGGCGGAGTTCAGGCCATGGAAGCGGCCGAGGTCCGCATTGCGGTGGAGGAACGCGGCGGAGTTGGGGTCGGTTCTCGGGGCAATGGGCGAACCGGATGGGAGGTGGAACGCGAGGAGAGACGATGGTTAGAGAAGTGGTTGCAATGGAGGGATTGAGTAGTTCCTCGATTCATGTAGACTCCATCAATTCATATACAAGGACTAGGTGGGTACTGTGACGTATATTTGGTATGTATAGTAGTATGTATCCTATGTAAAGCTCCCTCGACTCCCTCGACTCCCTCCAATGGCCACCGATCGATTTATAGAACGGTTGAAATATATCAGGTGTCATTTGCTACACAACCTAGACACTCAACGGTATTGACAAGTCACCGAATAGTCCAAAACGGTTTCCTCCTCGGCTTTCTGCAGGTTCCGCCACAATTTGATTTCCAAGTCCAAACCCTCCCAGTAGTATACAATTCAAAGGCATCGCACGCAACCAAAAGAACACGCCGCCCGCAGCAATGCACATCCATCCATTTCTCTCATAATTAACCAATCCTTCCATGTAAAATTGCCCACGCCCCTTGGAAGCCAGACCAAACCATCCTACTCACAAATGGTATCTCAGGAATGAAATGCTCAGAAGACTTTCCAGAAACTCAAGCAGCAACCGCTAGACAATTGATAATATCCAAGGATCCACAAATACAACGAAACAATTCATCACTCATCATGAGGTCACGCCCGGGCGGACCGCGCCGGCCGTCGCCTGAGCCGCGTTCCGCACTTGCTTCGCCCAGCGCAGTCCACAGCTGTTGCAAAGATCCCGGTTGCCACTGGGTCCCCGCCGCCACTCCGGGGTGGTCTTTGTCCGACACATCGAACAGCTCTTCTCCACCACAATGGTGCTCTGCTTGCGCTTGCGCTTCTTCCGCCGTGTGATCAACCGCTGCATCTCGTCCGACAGGGTGCGGTTCTGCTTCTCCAGTTCCCGCAGTTCGAACTGCCAGCTGGAACCCCGCGTGGGCGCCAGTTCCGTGAACAGTGTGTTATCCTCTAGCGAGGCCAATTGCTGATTGCCCGCTGGCAACCGGTTGGTCCCCACCAGCCCGGATAAGTCCACCCCGGTTGGCGCGAGCCCCAAGTCCGTCGATGAACCCGGTTCGTCAGATGCTCCCGGCGTGGACATCTTTGGGAAGCGTAACTGCGCCACCAGGAAAGAAGGCGGCGCTCCTTCTTTTGCATCGCCGGGTAAAAGCGTCGTCTGCACCTGGAGCATGTGGCCCTTGCGGTGACGGATCTTGTGGTTGAACGAAACCTGTTGGCCACCTCTGGCTGCCTCGAGCGCCTGCAAGGCCTGTGGTCGCGTATCCGCTCCCATTAGGTCTTGAATGCTCTTACCAATCAGGTCTTCCGGCAACCGACCTAGCACCGGCCGCGTCTTCGATGAAACATAGAGGACGATTCCAGACATCGACAGCTTGGCCCAAAGGTCATTCTCTGCCAAACCCCCACGGCCAACGACAGCGACATGATCAAGACTGTACACGGCCCGGGAACGACCCACCAGAACCATGTATTGCCGTCCGCGGTCGGTGATGTGCCACGACCCGTGGCTTTCGAACCAGACATATCCACTATGTTTCTTCCGGATGCGATAAACCACACTCACTGGCTCCGGAGTAATGCAGGCACGGAGTTCGCGGATCACAGGACCGATGTCACTCGGATGGCAGACGGTCGACAGGCCTTTCCCAACTAGTTCTACCGCGTCGTACTCCAGGACCTTGTGACAAGACGGGGACAGATAGAGGAATTCACCCTCAAACGAAAGCACATGGACGACGTCGTCCGTGTTTTCCACCAAAACCCGATCCAGTAACTCTCGATAGATGGGCATAGAGCCGTTCAGGCTGTCGAGAATCGTCGACACCTGCTCCGGGGCCCACATGGTAATCAGCTCCGGGTTAACTCGGTACATGTCCGGAGACGGGACTATATAGTTGGGCAATTGACTGCGTTGATAATTGATCATGTACGTGCCATCTGCGGAAGAGCCATGTTAGTCCAGCTACAACGAACAGCTCGGTTCCTGAGAGGGTCATACTGGGGTTTCGTCGGGTGACAGCGTCGGGCTGTTCGACCAAATCGACCTGAAAGCCGACGTAAAAGCGGTAATCCGGGCCACCCCATCGAATTGGGATCATGGTAACCAAGTTCACGAAAGGTTGTCCACCTTTCCGGTAGTTGATGATACTGGCCTGGATCTCGGCCCGATCTTCGATGGTTGACCGGAAGCGAAAGGCGGTGTTCTCATCGACAAACTTCCGCTGCATGCCCTGGTACACCACACCGTCGGGACCTTGCAGGAACCGACAGTTATGGCCCACGATCTCATCATTGGTGTAACCAGTGAGCCGTTCGAACGCTTCGGAGACGTACACAATGGGATGGTCATCCTGGGTGATATCGCAGAGCACAAAGGCACAGGACAGATCCACCGCACCAATGTTTATCTTAGCATCCGGCCGGGACACTACTTGAGCCTAGAAGGAAGTCGATCAGTAGGCGATGGCGGTGAGTAGGCGGGTCAGCACTTGAACCTACCAATATTCCCATGATATCGAAGCCACTGCTGGAGTAAATGCTGGAATATGGAGACCCGCTACCCACTTCGGTCTTGGCCCGAGGTGGTACGGCCGCTAAGAAGCGTAAAGAATCCGCATCAGCCTTCCAACTCAGATAGGAATCAAAGAGAGCAATACCCACCCTTGGGTGAAGGCCGCTTTGGCTGGATGAATCGATGGGATACGGTAGCATTCGAGGCTTGCGAGTAGGACTGCCGTTGCACCTCGGCCTGTGCAGCAGCACCAGCACGCCGCGAGCCGCTCTGATCCCGCGCGGGGCGGGCCGTAGATGTGGAGGGGGTTTCGATCGAGGGCCTGACGGCGGCGGCGACTACAGGTTGCACGGGAGCGCTTAGATCCTGAGCCACAGGCGGAGCCCAGTATGCGGTGGCGAGAGCCGATTGATTCCGTGGAATGGAATATGCCGCAGGAACGGGAGGATCTAGATCAATGACTTGGGTAGGCAAAGAGGGGCGCTGTACGGTAGAATGGCGATCGAGATTGGGATCTAAAGCGCCGGTTGTTTGGAAGGTGGAGGCATCGTAAGCGAAGCTATTTGCTGCTTCCATACTCATGACCATGCCGTGGCCCGCAACATTCATCGGATCGTAAGCGTGCATCGAAGCATTCGGGATTCGGCCTCCCAGACCAGGTGTCCGGGGCGGGGCCGGATGGTGGCCGTGCAGACCGGTTTGATGCAGAGCCAATGCATTTGGATGGGATGGGATCAGGGCACCAGGGGCACCGTTGGACAAGAGATCTGAGGGGTGCGATTGGTAGGGAAAAGTTCCCGGGTGAAACTGATCGGAACTGGGGTAAGCTAGCGGAAGCAGAGAAGTTTGCTGGGCGTGAGGATAATCGGAGGGAGGACCCAGTTGGGGGTCCTGTATGGGATAGTGTGCCTGATAGAAGGAGTCGTCGAAACCTTCCATGGCGGATGAGAGGGGGGTGGGAAATGGGGTGGGCGGTGGTAAGAAGGAGGGTCAAGCCGACTCCAGCGGTCGACGGACCACGTCCGATCGATTCGAGATCAGGCGGCAGGCCAATGGGGAAGTCGCATCGAAGCCGCGGCACTGCGCAGGAAAGGACAAACAAGGTCGGTCCGGACTCAAAAAGACCCCATGTAAGTCAAGGCCAGGAAGTATAGCGGATGGAATGTGCAGAGGAGAGAGAGGAGGGGCGGGAGAAGGAGAGGGCGAAAAAGAAGAGAGAAAGAGAAGAGCGGGGGGAGGAAAGGGAAGAAGTAGAGGAAGCGGAGGAAGAGGAACCAGAATGGATGGGAATTCGAAAATCAAAATAATAAGATACCAGATAATAATAGGAGTACTCAGTAGTAATGATACTAATAGACCGGGGGGGGGAGAGAAGGGACACGGTGAGTGGTCAACCCATGTTCTTTTTTGGGGGGACTTTAATATAAGAAGTCGACCGTCAGCCCTCGCGATTATTTCTCTCTCACGAGAAGAGAGGGAGGGAGACGCCGAGCGAGAGAAAGCGAAGTGATCTATATTATTATTGGTAAACGAGGCACAGGGCGAGCGTCTGCGCTAAGATAGAGTCGGGAAAGCGGAGGAGGGGCAAAAAAAGAAAAGAAATATTGTCGACGACGTTGACTGGCAGCCTAGTCGACATCTCGCATGAAGATGCCCACAATGAAATAGTCGTTGATGTTCTCCCTCTCCACTTGGAGTGAACAGCGGCTGGAACTTTCTCGGTTGTGAGGGAGGAAGAGGCAAAGATTGAAGCTGCAGGCGAGGAAGCAAAGAGGGGAAAGAAAGAGAGAGAGAGAGAGAGAGAGAGAGCGAAACACGAGACCGAAGAGGGAAAGTGAAGATGGTCCGCACAGCTGGGAGGAAAGGAAGGCGGTGGGAGGCAACTGGTGGATGGAAGAAGCAACAACAACAACAACACCAACAACACCACCTTGATCTATCAAATCTGATGCATCCACCTCCAAAGAGAGAGGCAACCGTCTATCTTCTTCAATTACAGACTGGTCTGTAGTGCAGGTGGACACAGACGGATATCCCATCCCATACACTTACTTGCATTGACATTTTTTGACAGGCTAAGTCCGAAGTAAGATAAGCCCCAGGGCGGGCCCCGGGCCCCAAACCCAACCAGATGACGATGCATCATTCCAGGGGCAAACAAAGACCAAAAGTACGATTGTGGTGCAGGACAACAAGTACCAAGTCCTCTCCGTATCCCGTAGAAGTAAAAAGATCAGTCAACGGGCCCTGTCCATTCAATTGTTCTTTGTTGCACTACTTCATCTCCCCCTTATCAATCTATCCTCGACCATAGCTTGACTGCGGAATCGCTAGTAAGCCAAGGGGGTTGATGTCACAGAACCTTACCTTACCTACTCCCTTAGGGCCCAGGGGCGTAGTTACTCCCTCCAAGATCCAGCATGCTATCTACTCCGTACCTAGTTGACTACTCCATCTCTCCGTACAAGTATGATCCTTCCTGTTGTTCCTTCCCGACCCCCTTTACTCCCTCTACTTGCATCCTCCATTCCATGCCCATCATGAAGGGATTCATGTACCTTCACTACCCTCCCCTTGGTCCCCGCCCTCCGACTCCCCCTCGTGGAAGGAGATCATGTCACTCGTAAAACCCAGCACTACTGGTGTGATTGAACGGTGGAAGGTAGCCGGTTGCATTCCTGGTTAATCCCCTCTTGTGCCTGGCCTGACCTGGCCTGGTTCAAGGATCCAGTCCAACCCGTGCCTGGGGTTCCTGCTGAACGTTTCACTCGGCCCACTGAGTCGGCCGATCACTTCTTTTAAATCTCCTTTCTCCCTCCTCCAATCTTCTTCTATGACTTCGCAAATCTCGTCACATATCATCCCATCCCACTTGCTCGCGGTTGATTGTGCAAGCTTGCTATCATTTCTCAAGCTTCCTGCCTTTCCCCCCTCCCCACCGCCCGGTTTCCCTTCTAGCGATAACCAATGCCGGACTCTCCGGAGAAAATCTCCATCACGATCTGTGGAGATGGTGGATGCGGTACGTGCCATCGAATCACAGACTCATGCATGAGGTGGATGGGGCGATAAAAAGCGGAGGTAATAACTCTGCGCTGCCCCATTCACATGCGCATGGCTCTTCTCATAAACACAATACAATTCAATGCGTGCTCACATCACTGATCGGGGCTGGTCGCAGTGTAGGCAAGTCTTCAATCACTCTCAGACTGGTGCGCAGCCAGTGGACGCATGAGTAAGTGTCCGGTCGTCTACCTGCACAACATAAACTAATCCACTGCGCGGCATCAGGTACGATCCGACAATCGGTAACGCTCTTTCTCCCCCTCACCGCACCATTCCCGGCAATCACTTGAGCGTTTACTAACAAGGAAGGGCAACTGCAGAGGATTCCTATTCTGTCACGCGTGTCGTGGATGGAGTGCCCTATGTCTTGTCTATCACCGATACGGCGGGCCAGGAGGAATACCGCGGACTATGGACGGCGTCCAACCTGAAATCAGATGCTTTCTTGCTGGTCTACGATATCACCAATCAGCACAGCTTGCACGCCCTGGACTCCTTCATGGATATGATTGAGATCGAGACTGAACAGCGAGCCGAACAGAGTCACCGCCTGCGACAAGAACTGGGAGACAATGCGGCGGGCCTGAGGGTGGGCATGCCGCCGCCCATCAAGATCGTAGCTGGTAATAAGTGCGATCTGAAAGAGAGTCGGGTGATCGGGGCTCCTCAGGGCTTGGAGTATGCCCGCAGGCATGGGTGCGGCTTCATGGAGACCAGCGCTCGTGAGATGGTCAACATCGAGGAGACCTTCTCCTGTAAAGGCCTCGTTCCACTCGATCTAGACGCCCAAAAGCTAACATCTCATCAGTGTTAATCCGCCGAGTGGTTGAGGCGCGCCAGGCCTTTTATCATCCGACGGCCTTGATCCCAGAGCCGGTTCATGGCAGCGGTTGGCTTCCAGAATTGAACTCAACAGCTAGCACGATCGTCCACTCGCCCTCCGTGGAACTGCCCTCTAAACACGTAGCACCCCGACAGCGAGGTTTTGGTTGGCTCCGGGAAAGGAAACGAGTCCATCAACAACAGGCTGATAGGTATCGTTATGGCAAGTCCAATCCTCCCATGCCATCGCATCGCGAGAAGCAGCGAAATCGTTCGGCAGCCAGAACCTGGCGACGAGTGTGGTGCTTTTGAGATTCTGGTCTGGCCGGTCTGTGCGGGTCCCGGGGTCTGCATTCCGGCCTGCGTTCTAAAGCGTGTCTTATATTCATATACCCTCCTGTCTCACACGTTGATACCAGAAAAGCTATTGGTTGAAAAAATACGAGTTGCTCTAGCCCCTTCGAGGACCTTTTCTCGCCATCACTGACTTCCGATAACAAGGTTTCTCTTTAGCTCATGACGAGATGAACAACATGCGGGTCATCGAGTAATTGTGGCAGCATGACTGCGAGGCAGTATGAGGTCATGGGCCATGGGCGAGTCCAGATCGTGAGACCGAACAGAAGTCAAATCTTATCGCCGGCCGTGATGACATGACATATCAGCCAGAGCAGCCAGTGCTTGCCCATGTGCTTATCCGCGCGGACATGTTCTCTTCCCTGAGGCCTCTTCATCTTAGAATACGTCCGTCTCTCTCCTTCCATGGAGGGGGAGTGAGTGAGTGGAACCCGTCGGAAAAGGAATGCGGAATGACGCTATGGTCTGAAGCACCCACGCTGCATGGGGCCGGTTCTAGACTCGCAGGTAAACCCGGGTCAATTTTTAATTCTCATTGCGTAACTGTAGGCAGGGGAGTCCTTGCGTAAAGGGTACGGTTCAATCGTTTTCTTTGCATAGTAGTGAGTAGATCATCGGCAATTCGAGCCATTACCCGTTCTCCGGTCTGTCGATCCCTCGTGGCCCCTAACTTGGGGGGGAAATGGTCAATGGATGATTGCAAATGAATAAACCTGAACCATGTTGAACCTGTCCATTCGAGAGAGCTTGAGGGGTGGACCGGGTCAAATTGGGGGAAAAGATCAACAAAATCCGCGGGAAGAAGAGAGGAGAAGCATAGAGGTAGAAAGAAGGAGGCGGGGCAGGTAGAAAGGAAGGAGTTTGACCAAGGTCTTTGGATCATTGATCTGATTGCAAGGCTGGGGAAAAGTTAATCTACTAGGTAGGTAGTCTATAGTACTATTGCTGAGAACATAGTACTACTATTAAACAATCAACGAGGTATCGATAGTGGCGTAACCACGAAAGTCAAATTCCGACACTATCGCATTCTATTTTCCTTCTGTTCTTCTCACAGCTGCGAACAGCAGCCGTGATCGTACCAAGAAATGGATACTCTGAGGGGGGGAGAGCCAATCGGGGGCGCGAATGACAGGACACATCCAGCGTGGGTGACCCGATATCGACTCATTGAACTAAGGCATGCTAACGTCATTGACTGAATGGCCTCATTCATCGCATGGTGGAAGAGCTGGGGGAGGAGGAGATCAAGCATTTTCTCTCCTTCCCCTTGCCCCTCCCCCTCTCCTCGGACTGGAAAGGAAAATGGCAGAACAAAGTGCCGATCAGCAAACGACAGTCTGAGATCATCAAAGCTTATCGATGCTGTTCTTGTTCCTCTCCTCCCGATGACTTGGTTGGTGGTTAGTACGAGTAGTAGTGGCCTGTGGCAACATGCGGTAGTTTACTAAAGTACACTATAGAAAGCAGGCTGCCGGTTTAAGCTTTTCCGGAGGATAATGATAATCTGGGCGACACTTCAACCGAGTCCTGTAGGTGCAGTGTACAGTAGACAGTAAAGATGCAACAGACAGACAGACAGACAGACAATGAATCCAAGAAAATGGTTAATCTTGCTGTAATTGTTGATGAATGAATGAATGAAGGAATGAGAGATTTCAGATCGCCGATCTTGGCAGCCAACCAACCAACCCCTTTGTGGTAAGTTCCGTCTGCAGAACGACCTGAAGTGGACTATTGTCGAAGCTCCCGGTTTCCTGCTCTTGTTCGGCATGTCTTTGCCGAGAACTGCCCAGGTGAGCTTTGCACTAAGAACGGTTGTTGTGCCGTAATGCCGAGCTTATGCAAGCGCGAGATGTCATTCTCATTCATACATACCTTTGCGGTAATAGTAATGATTCCTGTCGATTTACTCGATTGACTCGAGTTACTGTCATGGTGACAACCACCCACGTTCACGAACAAACAGGATTAACTTCCCATTGCCTTACTTGCGAGCCTGGCCTCAATCAAGCTGAGAACTTTCCTAGGGAAAATCTCTTCGATGGTAGACAGACACCTATACTAGACACTAAACACCCTTTCTACTCCTGTCACTTATTTCCGGATATACTACTTACTGACAACTACCATGTAAAGAGTGAACAACCGTCGGATATACGGCTTCCAGTGCAGTCAATGGATTTCCAAGTGATCCACCAGAACGGTAGCGATTGCCCTTCATTTGCAGTAGACGATAAGACCCTTCCCGGCGGGACGGAAGATGGAACCAGAACAGTGTAGTGATCATTATGTACAAACAGTAGTGGACTCGGGATGAAGTAACTCAACCTCAAACTGACCTGAACTTCCGTCCCCTCCTCCTCCCTCCCCCAAAAGGGATTTTTCAACCCCGGGGTCCGAGGCTAGGCCCGCGACACACCGATTCAGGTAATCAGCCTCTCTGCCGCGGGCTTTCTCTTGCTCAGCTCCCGTTCCGTTATCCGTGATTCGTATCAGGTAAGAATACCCTTGAGTGACGTTCCTATCGTATTAGGTCTGTATGACTGTATCAACGTATGATCGTATGAATGCGTGATTCATTGCAGTTACATCCCACGGATACTCGGCCATACAGTTCGGCGACTCTCCTCCTCAGAAGTGCAGCCAGGTCGAATGGCCCGAATTTTTGGCAGAGGAAGAAGCGTTGAGAAGGGAGGTCCAGATGATGTCAGTCTGATTTGCAATAAATGTCAGCCCAGTGTATGTAGTGAAGGTTCTGATTTCGTAGCAATATCCAGCAAAGCCATGCAATCTTCATAGATTGTATTTCTTACCTGCGGTATCGATGCGGAAATCTCCACCAAGCCGGTCTGGGTCTGGTCGTTACGGCCGCATCCTGTAATTTTTAAACTGTAAACTACGGATGACCCGTGCTGGAACATCCTTCGAGTTTCTTGATTACTGAGATGCGACTAGACCATTTCAAATCATTATAATAATGATAATTTCTCCATAACTGCCCTTACCCCCCCTCCCTCTTCTCTCTTACTCTTGAATTCTAAAGAGCTTCCAAAGTCGTTTCTACCTCTAGCTCCTTTGATTCTTGATTTCAAGCTCATTGTCTTCCGTGCGGATTCTCTCCTTCGAATACTAGTCGTATTCTATACTACCGACTCTATACTAGCTAACCCTATCTCGATCAACCTGAGTTCTCCTGACTCTGGCTCATTGCAACCCTACCCAGTCTTCTGGATCGATCCAAATTATTCATTCGGCGTTCCATCGACTTATGTGCCTTACATTGGCTGAGGAACTTGAGATAGAAGTGATTCCATCGGTTTAACCTTTCCTGCCCTAAGATCGTTGTATCATCGATCAACCTTAACCAACTCCCCGTCGATATTTGGATCATTACAACATTCCGCTGCAGGAGTTTCTCACAGGAGAGGGAGATAAAGCAAACGACATTCGACTTACTTGACTACAAGGCCCCACCTCCGGTACCTGGCGCCGCTAATATCATCAATCATCATCATCATCATCATCATCATCATCATCATCATCTCTCTCTTCTGCCCCTCCCCCTCTTCCGTCTATCTTTACCTCTCTTCCTCCTCATACTTCCTCTCCTTCTTGCGCCTTGCCATTCGACGAACTCCGCCGAATCAACTATAATCACCATATACATACATCCATTCATACATACACCAACCCACCTATATATATCTATATACATATATAGACGCAAACACATACACACACAATGACAGCGCGCCAATCGTCACCGACTTCAGATCACTCACATTCGGACGGCAACATCCGTAAGAGGGTTTGCAAGGCCTGCGATCGGTGTAGACTGAAGAAATCCAAGGTAAGCTAAAGCCATGGCTCGACGCATCAGCTTCGGCCTGATGCACTGACCCGGTGCAGTGTGACGGAGCCAACCCATGTGGTCGGTGTAGGACGGACAATGCCATCTGTGTCTTTGGCGAGCGAAAGAAGGCCCACGATAAAGTGTACCCCAAGGGGTGAGCGCGTTCCTTGGCCTTGAGCTTTTGCTATGGATTTCCTTGTGTTCGAATCGGGGACTGACTCTTCGCGTGACAGATATGTTGAGATGCTTGAACAGCAACAGGCATGGCTTGTCCATGGACTTCAGGAGCTGTACCGACGAGCCACAGAGGGCGAAGGCTGGCCCGGCGAGCCGTTGCAATGCGAACCAAACGGCCATCCGCTGACGCACGACTTGCTCACTCGACTCGGGGCGTTGGATCAGACGAAAGGCGAGCGCTTCGAAGAGAACACGGAGGCCATGCAGCAAGAGCTGTGGATGCAAAATGCCGGACACATGCAACGCCAAGATTCGTCAGATGGAAGCTCCGATAGCGCGCAATCGCCCACTGTTCCCACTCGATTTTCGGATCCCTTTGCGCACCAAATGCCACCCACCCCGACCTTCAGCGCATCTCGCGCACAGGGACCCACGATCAAAACCGAACCGCAGATGGCCCCCTCGAACCCAACGTTCGCAGCTTCCATGCCCATGCAAGGCGTGGTCAACCCCTTGGCGCTTCAGACCCCGCAACAATGGCCCAGCAACAATTTCAGCTCTTTCGAGGATATCGATCTGATAGGTGCCTCGGACTACACGAACCTATCTTTCGATGATCAGGTTCCTTCGCCCATGTTTAACCGTCAGATCCCCATGAGTTGCATGTTGACCTCATCGTATATGGACACGAAAAGCGATTACGAAGACATCAATCAGTTTCTAAACGCGAACCCGCCTGAGATCGCGTCTACCTAATGAGTCCCTTGAACATACCGCAATCTTGCAAACGTCTTGTTGGGGCGAGATGGAGTTTCACCAGCGTGACGTGACGCATGTACAGTATACATGTATGACGTGTCTTCTAACTGTCTCGCCTGGTGCTACTCCTTTTTTCTCGATGACCACATGCCTTCTTCATCGCGACAGAGGGCGATTGGAAGACTGTACAGTGTGATTTTCTCTTCTTTTATGTGGCTGCATTCATACAGCCCCATCCTATCCTAGTTCACAGCTATCCTTTGGATATTTTTTCTTTGGGTCATTCACCCTTCTTTCCTTTTCATTTGGATTTTAAGGATATTGTTTCTGAGTCTTGGGATTCGGATTTGGATTGGGTCTTGGCAAGGGTTTGTGGTGATGATGGTGTCTTGGGTGTTTTGGGTGATACTGGCGTTGGCGTTTCCAAAACAGTGGCTAGGCTTCTTGGACTGACTCCCCACGTGCATTTTTCTCCGGGTCAATCTTATTTTTCTCTGCACTGGTGTCTGAACTCCGGGTGTTGGATATATTGCAGTCTTTACCATTTCGTACCCCATAAAGCGACCGAATATATCTTATTATTGTGAGGTGAACCAAATTACCGAGAAGTGACCGAACTTGGGCCTGAGGCAGGCACTAGAGAAATTGGACGGATGACGTTGAGACACCGCCCTGACTCAAACCGGCGGTGGAGGACGTCACCATTATTAATAGATGTCAGCCCGTTCTTATCTCCGTGGCTTTCCTCCGGAGGTAGTGAAGCCAATACAGCATAGCACACAGCATTAATTCGTTCTTTCTCAACGGGGTAGGTGCAGACTAGCTAATTCTACGCTTGGGCGCATCCAGATGCTGCTGTTCTGATGCAGATAGGGGCCCGCACCAGATTTTGAGGAGTACTGGTGGTGCAGCGTTGAATCATGATGAGAAAAGAAAGAAAGGGAGGGTCCAGTCCCCACCAGCAATGCGACGGGGCCGCTAACACCTGCACACAGTTTGGTTCTCGATGGAGCCCAGCCCAAGCGAACTCCTGAGAGAGATCTTGGCTTGACGGCTTCGTCCATCTTCCAGCAGCCTGTGTGTCTCGTCCCTCCGATCCCGAAACTGTCACAGAACCAGAGGAGAGAAAAAGAAAGCTCAATCCACAATGCCGACCACCCGCTTGTGCGCTGAGCACTGAAGTTCCTTGTACTGTATGTTACCCAAACATACATATATAATCTAAGTCTCGGCATCCCACACTCAATACCGGCGAATCGATGGAGTGTACTGTCCATGCCTGCCAAAACCTTGTTTTGAAAACTTTTTTTACTTCCGGATTACGGAGGTTTCTCAATCTCATCCCAGCTCCATAATCCATCCCAAAGTCCGTGATCCATGTGCATTAGACTATGCTATTAGTCTGTTGGGCTCTGACATCTTTTTTTTTTTTTTTTTTTTTTTTTTTAGCTGGACTACAATCTGATTTTGTCCTTTTCCCCCTTGGGCCATTTCTCTTGCTCCTTACCCACTAGGTTCTGCACCCACCTTCCACCATCAAGGTTGCATGCCTGGGTTCTCTTGATGGATGGAGACTACCTTTGGAGTATTGGTCAAAAGTAGACGGGCCAACTGACTGCCAGGGCACAAACGGGGTTTGGAGCTGGCGTTGACAGCAAACACTTCCGTATTTTACTTCTCATCCATAGCAGCTCGTTAAGTAGTCTTTCTAGGTCTTATGATCGACTCATGATCTGTTCAGGATTGTTTCGTGGTCTGCGTTGGCTCCTTGGCAATTCCTTGTATAGAGCTCTAGATGTACTATGTACGCACAGGCGCGCTCATCGAACGCAAAAGCGACAATCTCTTCAAGCCTTCGAGTCTAAGTCTCTTTTTGTAATCATGTGGTAATGTGGAAGTCAATTCGTTTTGATTGTGGTCAGTTCCCCTAGGCCACTCAGGTACGAGTACCACAACCAGGCTCAGGCTACTTCTGTTCTTTAGTCTCACGACTGAAAATGAATTCCGTGAGATGGTTAATGGAGACGTGGAAACTGTCCCCGCCCAACAAAAAAAAGAAAGAAAGGCAAAGAAAGGGCCGGCGATATGTCCGATATGTCCGACCAGGGGCTCCATCCCGAGTGCACCGATTTCGCGCCTCATGGGGTCGGAGTTTACCACTTTGGGTCGTGTCCAACTCTCATTGTCCTGACTAATCAGTCCCCGAGCCGCTGGAAGCTTCCGAATCATTAATCAGCCTGGCTGGAGCAGTGGACGAAGTTGGAGGACTCGACCTAGACCAAAGGACAACCCAGCTTTTTTCGGGGTGAAGACGGGGTTTAGGATCGGTGGATACGCGATTTATCGTCTGAACATACGCGTAACGAGTAAGTTATCGAGTAACTTACCACTGGCAGGCTCAAAGTCCTTCTTGCAGGCCGTTTGACCAAATGAGGTGGGCTGAGCGATTAATATCTGCTGCCGCACGGGCCAGCCGTATGTCGAGTCGGTAATCCGCAAATGCACATGTACATACAGTACCAGTGTGTGTTTGATGTATGTGGCGGTGAATCTGGAGTTCGGAGTCAGAAGAAGGTAATGAGCCCCCTAATATGAAGGGGCACAAGATGTCAAAAGTAGCGCACCGTATGCAGCGGTTTTCCCAGACAAACGTCGCATAGCTTACCTACTTGAGTGCCCCAGATATTTGTGCATGCATCCCTCATATTGACTCAGCGGACGTGATCTCGGCACGGAATTCCACGTACTCCGTCACGACCGACCCGAAGCTGGTGTTTGGCCGCTCTCCGTCTTTCATATGTGCATACAGGACATACAGTACAGTACAGTACAGTACGCGGCGAGAAAACCTATGGGCGGATGGAGTTGATATACCTGTCTAAGGCTGTACCGTATGATTCACTGCTCTCGAGTGCTCTTGTCAAGCTTTGTAGCTGCTCACATAACTAGTTGCTTGGTTGGTAGGTTGGTTGTTTGTTTGTTGATGCTGCGGCCTGAGGCATTGGCTTCCCCGGAAGATTACCCAAACAAGGTGTTTTAGCCTAAATGTCTGGGCTCAGTGTCCATTTCCCCCTCTCTCGAGTCTTGTCACTTACTGCAGAGGAACCTAGCGCCTCGAAAACTAGCTCTATGCCAAATGACTTTCGTCATTCGTGGAGCTATTTATCCGATCTGAGATGGTTATAAGGAGGGGCTAATGTTCTCTCTGACCCAGCGAGTCCTCACTTTCCATTGAGCAATTTTGAGCCACAGGGTCTCACTTACTGTACTCCGTACTCTCCCGCCAAGTCGAGCGCCGGGGAAAAACAGGCAATTGCGGGGTAGACGAATGTGGGTGCCCTTTCAAGTTTCAACTGACTTGGTTTTAATCTCGTGGGCCGTGATAAGCTTATACGTGTCCCAATCTTTCTCTTTTTTTTTCTCAGTTAGCCTTCGCCCTGACTAGCAACAATTACTTCCGGAAGTCTACCTGATCGCCCGAGAACAATAACAATATGGGTGACAATACTTCCGTCAAGTTCACCTCTCTGGGCGCCATCATCCAGGAATTCAACGTGGGGGGTCAAAACATAGTCCAGGGATTCACAACCCAGAAGCTATACGAGGAACACAACAGTCCCTGGTTCGGTGCCAACATTGGCCGGGTGGCCAATCGGATCAAGGACGGAATCATCCGCAATCTCAACGGTCGTGAATATCAGCTGGAGCAGAACGATGCCCCCAATGCCCTGCATGGCGGCAGTCAAGGCTGGGGCCGACGCAACTTCGAGGGCCCAACCGTCCTGCAGCGGCATGGCAAGGACACCCTGCTTTACACCTATCGGAGTCTTCACAACGAGGCCGGGTACCCGGGTACGGTGGACTTGAAGGTCTTCTACACGGTCAGCGAGGAGAAGGAGGGTAACATCACCCGATCCGTGCTGGATATTGAATATGAGGCCGAATTGGTGGGCGATGAGTGCGAGGAGACCGTCATCAACCTGACCAACCACAGGTATGCAGGCACTATCACCTGAGGGGAGGGGAGGGGTGTGCTGCCCGCCATTGAATCCACTTTATCTGACCAACTTGTGCGGGAGCATAGCTATTTTAACTTGGGTAGCGGCGCAACCACCGAAGGGACTATCGCCAAGCTGTCGACACAAGATTACCTGCCCCTTGCGGGTGGGATCCCTCGCGGCCCAGTCGAACCGTATCCCAGCCAGGTGACGAAAGAGTTCACCTTCGGGCCCGAAAATCAGTTCGACGATATTTTCGTGATGGAACGCGAGATCGCCCGGGTGCCCCTCGATACACGCGGACAGCCCCTCCAGCTGCAGGCTGAATTCCGCCACCCGGACTCGCATCTGAACCTGCAGGTGTATAGCACGGAGCCTGCATTCCAATTCTACACGGGACAGGGCATCGACGTGCCGGCCACGGAAGGGAACCCGAGCCGCGGGCCATTTGCCGGGTTTTGTATCGAGCCTAGTCGCTTTGTCAACGCGATCAACGAACCAGCCTGGCGGCACACGGTGGTCCTGAAGAAGGGAGCTCAGTACGGCAGCAAGATCACCTATAAGGCATGGAAAGACCCGCGCTGAACTGCCGCGGCAATGGAGATGGAACGAATGGGGTTTAGGTTTGATGGTCAGTCAGACCACTGATCGGTTGAATGATTGTCGCTGTTGACCTTTGACTGGCGGTAGATTTGAACTTGGGCCTTGGATCTCGGCATCTTACACTCCGATCAGTGCCTATCTGCACACGTAACAAGTAATTTGTCCTCAAGTGCGGAACAATTTCCGCTCAATTTCTCACAATGGAAATCAAAATTTTTCTTTTTCAAGCTACCTTGGCCGACATCCCTGGCGTTTGGTGTTTGTGTGTGCCGATTTACCCTTTATCACCGTGATATGTATCCGAAGCAGCGTGGGTCTCGAGAAGAATGGATCTCTGTAGTGGGAACCCGACTCCACCAGACCTGAGCAATGGAAGAAGGAAAGACCAGGCGAAAAGGCCTCACGAGAAGCCAAAGTTCCCATCTTCCTTCATTTGGAGGCGGAATGATACTAGCTTCAATGGCACGCATACATGATCTACAGTCGAACCTGAGTGAGTTAGCCTACTCCTGTCAAATGATACTCAACACGGGAAAAAGTCGTGGTAGAGAAAAGTTGGTTTGACATTTCTGAAACCCTGGAGAGTTCTCTCGGCCCCTCGGAACTCTCGCAGTCTCGCTCTTTCTCTTTCCACTGGGGTGGGGGGCACATTGGTCGACGACTCGATGGGATGGGATGGATCATGGGACAGGGGAAAAAAAATCGCTCAATCGAGGCGCCAAGGCATTCTGGAATCTCACTAGAAGCATTGATTAACTTCGCGGGAGGTAAGAGGATGATTCATGATTGAATGCAAAGTCTGGCAGAGAGGTCTGCTTCTTCTTGCATGCGCCATGATGGGTCGAGCATCATGTATACACCCAGTGACTAAGGTGACTTGAGATTATTCTCATGTCTATAGTGATTTTGATACAACTATGCACAGGCTCGTCGCAGCACAGAGATCAACTATTACTGTAACTTACAATAAGTGTACATCAGTGTGGAGAGGAGAGCCCTGTCATTGTGGTAATAACATTGGTATTGTCATCAAATCTCGAATGCAAAAAAACCGCATATGTTTTCCGGAAATACGGATGATCGAGGGAGCTGTACAGTACATACCGTGCAGTAACTTTTACTTCGGAGGCCGAAAGCGCGGGAGACGGAAACATTCCAGTCCCGGGCAAAAGCTTGGCGTGCGGATCAGCCTTACTTAAGCTGGACTGCGCATTTCCCAGGTTACACAAGTTATGTACAGCACAAAATATTATGTACGATATGAGCTCTAACTATATAACGATTGGCATATGGTTCACAGCTGGCCAAGTCATTCCAGACTACTAGTTAACTGCCATCCAGTCATCACACGACCCATGCAGCTTGGAGTGGAATAACCGCATGGTCCTCTCCACGGCCTGATCATAATGCATAACACCACCGTATGCACTTGCACAGCCCACAGCTGCATCTGCCCGTGACCGGAGTATTCTGGCATTGAGTGACTACAAAGTACAAACCGAACCTCAATTTACCCCACATAAGCGTATGGACGGTGAAGGACAGACCCCAGTTGCTGGTGCTGATGCCTGATCCCTGCCATAAGTGTGGGCTCATCATCTCGACACATAGTTATGTACATTTACATCTGATTACAATAGCGGGTCCAAACACTCTTTAAGGACGAGACAACCCGTGCTTTTCTCATTTACTGTTTTGGTTTTTTTATTCTTTATCTTTTTTTCCTTTTTCAATACAATCTTGCTGCCTAAGAACTAGCAATAGAGAAGTCGATTGTCACTAAACTAACGAGTGGCCCTTGACGTCAGCAATTGTTCACAGCTCCCATGCAGCAAAGGCAAGTGAGAATTGACACTTGTCAACTTACTCGTGGGTTGGCAGAGTATTGAGCTGCTCTGGGATCACTAATCGGATGGGCGTCCAAGCCCTTCTTCTTGTGTTGACAGATGTCATCATCTCTCTGGGAGCTCGGTGCAAGGAAGGATCCACGGGTCGACGTAGCAACCTCGTGTTCGTATTCGAAGTTAGACACGCATAGAGAAGTTGTCTTCGGTATCTTGAGACAATATCTGCTGGTTTGTATACTGTCATTCCCTTACACGTTTCCGGGAATATGGAATATTGAGATCTCTGCTCTGGAAGTACAGAGTAACTTACTGGACATATCTCGGTAATACAGTACTCCGTGCAGTGATTACAATGATAAGAGTGATTACATAAATCCTGACTCATCTACCCCTCTCTCCTGCGCTTCCCCGGAAGCACCCGAGGGAAATTGCTTGCCCCGCGTGGGGTTCGTTGACAACTTCCTTCTGCATCTCCTGCATCTCCTTCCATCTTCCACCTCCCCTCATCAACATTACCTCCCCTCCATACTCAACCTCCCGAGACGACACCCCAAGACCCCAATGGCTGCCAAGTACGGTGACCTCAGTCATCTTCTTCCCGGGAATTACAAGCGCCTCATCAGCGCTTGGTTGGAAGAGGACTGTCCCAGCTTCGACTATGGCGGCTTCGTCGTCGGGGAATCGGAGGGCGAGGCCCGATTACTAGGCAAGAGCAAAGTATGTAGTCGGCTCCCCTTCCTCCTTTTCTGTTTCTTTCCGTTGACTTAGGCTCCTGGTCTAGGGGATCATTGCAGGTGTTCCGTTCTTCAATGAAGTCTTTGCGCAACTGGGGTGCACGTACGTCAGATCCCTATACCTCCTCCTCTGAAACCATATCCACCCACAAAACCCCACTGATGATCACCTCAACAATTGATTTCAATGCAACAGAGTAGAGTGGCATCTTCCCGAAGGCTCCCTGACCACCACCACCACCACCACCACCACCGACCCGATCAAAACCCACTGCGCCACCGTCCGCGGTCCCATCCGCAAGATCCTCCTCGGCGAGCGCGTCGCCCTGAACATCCTCGCCCGCTGCTCCGGCATTGCCACCAAGTCCGCCGCCTTGGTCGCCGCCGTCCGCGCCCAGGGCTGGACCGGCACCCTGGCCGGCACCCGCAAGACCACCCCGGGCTTCCGCGTCGTCGAGAAGTATGGCATCCTGGTAGGCGGCGCCGACCCCCACCGCCATGACCTGAGCGCCATGACCATGCTGAAGGACAATCACGTCTGGGCCTGTGCCAACAATCGGGCCGCGGCCGACGGCGGGGTCGGTGACCGCGCGGGCGCCTCGTCGTCCATTGCGGCCGCTATCCCGCGCGCCGTCGACGCCGCCAAGGCCGTTGGGGGCTTTGCGACCAAGGTCGAGGTCGAGGTGCGGGATCTCGAGGAGGCGAATGCTGCCATCGCTGCCGGGGCGGACGTGATCATGCTGGACAACTTCACGCCCGAGGGTGTGCGCGAGGCTGCGCGGCAGCTCAAGGCGGATTGGGCGGGTAAGCGGAAGTTTTTGATTGAGGTCAGTGGTGGGTTGACGGAGGAGAATGCCGCGCTGTATGCTTGTTCCGACGTCGACATCTTGTCCACTAGCTCCATTCATCAGGGTACTGGCATCGTGGACTTCTCTTTGAAGGTCTCTTTGCGGTGATTTGGTTGCGGTCGGTGCCCCGTGTTGCGCCGCCGGGAGGGGAGAAAGTTGGGGGTTTACGATGCTACGTCGTGTACTGTATATCTTTGTAGACTGGGACGAATGATTTATGTCTCGATCGTCTTTTGTTCTTACCGGCCAGACTTGCACCTTCATTCATTCAGAAATTGCCCAATCACCGTCGCCCCCTTTACTTTCTGCCGGCCACCTTCTCTGGTTCAACTTTGCTCCACATCAACAGAGCTCCACGTGTCTAAATCATGCGCCAACAAAGAATTAAAATCCAAGGGAGAGAGGGTATCTGGTACGCACACACGCAGAGGACCGAAACAATATACAACATCGCTATCAACGGGCTGGGTTGAATGAGCAGAACATTTGCGTGGGGGGAATAATAAACAAGATAACGATGGATGATCATTCAAGAAAGGAGGGAGATGCGGGAAATTGGAAACTGGAAAAAAAGACGGCTGGCTGGCAGCAAGCAAGCCTACACCTCGATATCAACGTATATGCCCTCCTCCCCACTTGAACTCGGCTCGTCATCGCGATGGCGCTCGTACCCGTCGCTCGTGCCGGGGTCAGAACTATCGAGCCGCCGTTGAGCTGGCACGCGCATATGGCCGCCATCGCCGTCAAGCGACGATGTCCTAGTCGACACGTCGTGATGTAGATGCCGTCTCTCCAGCTGAGCGCGCAGTCGCTGGTTCTCCGCGTCACGCTCCTCGAGACGCTTGCGCGCCCCGCTGCGGTCCAAGATCCGAGCTTCCCGTTCGGCTTTGAGTCTCTTCTCCAGTTCACGCAGCCGCTGGATCCACCTCTCACTATTGGCGGGGTCGGCCGCTAGCGGATGGGTGCGCGAGCCGTGTACAAGGGCACCGTCTGTGGCCTCGGCCAACGTCGACCCCCGACTGCGCGAATGAGACTGTAGCAGATTAAGCTCGGCCTTCAGGAGCCGGTTTTCTCCACGGAGCTTAGCGGTCTCCGGAGACACTCCGGACAGGCTGCGGTTGTGTTGCTGCGCGCGCATGTTCATCATCGATTCTTCCAGACGATCCAGTTTCTTAACTCGCAGGCTGAAAGTGTGTTCTAACGACTGATACTGTTTGGCTAAATCGCGCTCAACGCCCTTGATGCGAGCCTTGAACCCCAGAACCACGTTCTCCAGGGTTTTGAGAGCAAGCAAAAGGTTGCGGCTGAAGCCGGGCCAAAATAGGATATTTCCGATGACTTCCTGGCTAGGCAGATTGCCATTGATCAGGCTGTTGGAGTGAGCCCAATCCGGTCCGCACATCGAGGACAGACGCTTCCAGATCGCTAAGAGCATGGCGTTCCTCTCGCTTAGCTGGTCCTTGAATTGTTGTTCAAGAGTCGTGAAGCGCTTTCGATCTTGATTCCGTGCGTTTTCAAGGTCCGAGATGCGCGAGTTGTTTTGCGTGATGGTCCGGGACGCCTGGTGATGTGATTTGAGGGCCTGATCGAAGGACTGCTTGTCGGCGCGGCGAGCCTGGCGTTCGCGATCAAGAAGCTCGGCCAATTTACGTGACTCCAGACCATGGCTCTCCAGTAGCGCATCCCGGTTTCGCAACAACGACTCCTTCTCGTCGAGCTTGGAGCGGGTACTCTCAAGTTCTAGGGCAGTCGATTCGAGTTCCTTCTGCAGTTT